ATTGAACCCGGCTTTCTCGGACATGATCAAGTTTTTTTTTTTTTTTTTTTTTTTTTGAACACTAATAAACCCTAACTTGGGCTGTAAGAAACCCTAAACTAGAACAAAATTCGAATTTTTTGTATTTTTTTTTTTTTTTTGCAAGGACTCTAGACAAAACCTAACTTATACTCTACGAAACTCAAAACAAATAACCAAAAATTCGATTTATTTTTAGTTTTGACTCTAAACAACAGAACGAAGAATAAGAGAAAAGAGGACTAGAAGACTCGACAAAAGACAAAAGAAAACTACGATGACACGAACAGGACTGACTAAAAAATAAAGATAAAGATAGGTGAAACCTGTTTTGGATGTTGGCTCTGGTTACCAACTGATACGAAACGAAAAACAAAACGAAGACACGAAAGAAAGGACTGACTCAACAATTAAGATAAAGGATAGGCGAAACCTGTTTTGGATGTTGGCTCTGATACCAACTGATACGAACCCCGTAGAACTTGTTACGAGACCCAATACCCTACGCGGAAGCAAGATCGAAAACACCCAAAAACAAAGATTCAAGTTTGGCGGAAGCAAGGAACAATGACCCCATAGCTATAAAGAGCTAGAAACCATTATTATCAAGGTGAAATATAATATTGACCCCGTGGTTATAGAGAACCAGAAACCAATACTATGGCGCTAAGAAAGTTACAAGAATCCACTTGTAAAATCCCGAAGGTTGCTGTAGAACAGCGAAGGAGAATTGATTTCTCAAAATACTCAAATATTCATTAAAATTCGTCCTCTAAAATAAGCCAAATTGGCAACCTATTTATAAGATCTAAAAAGACTCCTTTTTCACAAGGAAAAGGACTCCTACCTAAACTATAATAAGGAAACTTGTAAATAAGCAAATCCTAACCATAAAGAACTCTAAAATAATAAAAACATAATAAAACCTAAATTAAAAAACGTGCATAATTAAATAAGATAACTTGATCTTCAAGACGACGTCTCGATCACCCTTCTTAACTCGCGACATTGGGCTGTGCACGTGTATGCAATTAAAGCTCAATTTTGACACTGTTCCACTTCGAATATCTCTTCGCTCAAAACATAAAAGTTGTAGATCTTTCAGTTAGCTTTCTGAATCAGTTTGAATCAGCTCAATTGGACGTCGGATGCGAGAGTTATAACTCGAATGGTAAACTCTGCCAGAATAGGCGAGAATCTCGGATGCATGGAATTCGACTTGTCCAACGACTTTTTCTCTTTCTTTTCTTCCAATTCCAAACCACGGACTCTTCAATGGTCTTATTCAACCCTTTCCTCTCCAAGGACAGCTCGAATAATGTCTTTAAACTCGTACGCTTTCGCGTCTTCCAATTCTTCGTCATGGAGCATCTCTGGATCGTATCATTCTCCCCCTCTTTAAAAGGATTCGTCCTCGAATCCGGACAAATATCACAAGGAGTATAAACAAAATTGACTTCATGATCAATCTCCCTCTTTGGCAGCATACTAACACATTGCTGCACCACATCGCAGAACACACCGTCTTGCAGCCATTGAAATGTGTACGAACATGGATATTTTGTAGCTCGAATTCCCAATGCGTCCAACCTCTGTATAGAGAATGGATGAAGCATCTCTCTTGGCACCGCTATCTCATCAACATTCACACTGAGAGTTTGCATTTTGTTTAGCTCGACATTAACTTCATTGCATGGCTGACTCATATCAATAAGTTTCTCATACGTACTCCAAATCAATTGGTTCCGGTGGCATTGGAAAGCTATTTCAGCTGGCTACAATTCATGTCTAATGGCAAAATTCCAAATTCGGACTCGAACATGGTCAAAATTGGATTCCAAAAGCGATCATGAAAATACGTACTACTGTTCGAGGACATGAATGCGCATCAAGAAACGTGCACAAAAACACTCGCTAGAAGAGTTACGCACATAAGTAAGAGTACAAAACCATGCACAAAAGTACTCACGCAAAAGTGGATTCGCAAAAAGGATCATGAAAACACAAACTACAATCCTAGGACATTAATACAAATCAACAAACATGCATACGCATACGCGCTCAAATGGACATGCACAAACGTACATGTGAAAAAAACATGCGCAAAAGTGCATTCGCAACAACGTTCTTAAAAACACGAACTACAATACTCGGACTTTAATACGCCTCAACATACAACAGAAAAAACACTAGATAAAAAAGATACAGTGGAGTGTAGAAATAAAACTCTACGTTTACGTTTAGGTGGATTGTTTTTTAGATTAATTTATATTTCTATATTAATTGGTGGATTTGGTATCTTATGGGCATCTTTGGTTTGCATTATTAGCATGGATGGGATGAATTGTACTCCCGGGTACGATGTTTGGTTCGGTTTATTTGCCGTCCTTGACTAATGGCCCCACCATTTTAATCAACCAATTCAATTATTAATTATCCTCCCAATTTTGACTTGATAGTATATCATTTATACAATCCCAGTTCTTGCCCGATGTGAATTGACGAAAATGTCCCTCATTATTTCTTAAATTACGAAAAAAATCGATATATAAACTCACAAAATCAGCTGTTTCCCCTCGCAGATGCAGCCCTAGTCTCTCAGGTGTGAAATCGTCCCAGGTGAGAAATCAGATCTTACACCATCTTTTCAATTTTTAGATTTGTAATTTGTTTTAGTGTTTAATCCGTTCAATAACTTCTTCAAATGCCCACAAATTGATTGTACTTTGGCAGATAGAATCGAAGAAGAAGACGGGTCCGGCGAGAAACCTCGGTTCGATGTTTTGACACTTTCCGGTGTCCGTCATTGTGGCAGGTTCCTCTCTGTCTTTGAATTTTAAATCTTTGTTTAATTCCGTTGAGTTTGAAATGAGAAATTTAGGGCTTCGTTTATTGCAAGAACTCCTCACCAACAGAGCCTTACAATACCCAATTGTATTTTTTTTTTTGATAATTATACCCAATTGTTTCTTTGTTGTTATTTAAGCTATATATATATATATATATATATATATATATATATATATATATATATATATATATATATATATATATATATATATATATGTATATCTGTTGACTCCTTATTTTTCAACCTTGTCAGTAACGTTTCTTATTCGGCATTGAGCATCACAACAGATTTAATCCACCAACGCAACCATTACCGCTTTAGTTAACTGCCATTACCCACAGGTATTTGCTTCGCTATTAATACGAAAAACCAGGTTTGATTTCACACAGGATGAATATATGCCACCCGTAGACTACAAATGTTTTTTACTTGTTCAACACAAGCTGTTTAATGTAGCTTATTTAAGATGTTTATAAATGTATAATAGAAATTATGCACCTACTAACATAGGTCACCACTGAACGACTATCAGTTATGTTCTTACTCCGTACTAAATAAACCGGAGATTGTGCACACAATATGTATCTACTGAATACGCGAATAATATGAGGTATTGCTGTCAATGTAGGAAATTGTGGGACTGCGATGGATTTTTCAAAAAAGGAAGAAGATGTTGTTGTTTTACATCAACTCATGTTTAATCTTCGGCTGTTTTTCTTGATGTCCGTTCACATATTTAGTAAAAAAAATCGTCGTCGGTTGTCTTGCTCTCAGAATAACACCCAAACTTACAGTTTAATAGGACGAACACCTTCACACCTTGACTATTTGCGTTCGTTAGTTGGGTTGAACGATGTAACATGTCGTGATAATCTTAGAATGAACATACAGTCCTTTTACCGGCTGTGTTATATTTTAGAAAATGTGGGCGGTCTTAAAGCAAATAGAAATGTGTCTATACCAGAGCAAGTCGCAATGTTTCTTCAAATTTTAGCCCATCACACAAAAAACGTTGTTGTTCGGAGTCATTTTAACAGATCTGGGTACACGGTTAGCAAACACTTTAACCGCGTTCTACTGGCCTTACTTAAGTTACACGAAATGCTACTGATAACACCAAAACCCGTCGACGAACTTTGTGAAAATGAGCGCTTTTCACATTTCAAGGTAACATATTAAAATATGTTATGTCAATGTTTTCTTACACAGTTGTTTTTTGTTTAAATAAATACGTTATTACGGTGATTATTTATTAGGGATGTCTCGGTGCACTAGATGGGACGTACATAGGGTGACGGGTTCCTTATCTTGATAAACTAAGATACAGGAATCGCAAGGGTAATGTGTCGATCAATGTTCTAGCTGTTTGCGATGATAACATGAATTTTATATACCTACTTACGGGTTGGGAAGGGTCTGCAGCCGATAGTAGAATACTTCGTGATGCAGTAACCCGAGACAATGGTCTTCGAGTCCCCACGGGTAAGTATTAGTTGGTAGAGTACCAAATAAAGTCAAATAGTTAACATAGTGCCAGTATGTAGGATCCGCACTGTAGTTGATTCCAACTTTAGTAAATCATTCACCTTTACAGGTAACTACTACTTGGTTGACAACGGTTATACGAACGGGGAAGGTTTTTTGGCACCGTACAGAGGTTGTAGATACCACCTCGATGCATATGCAAACGGTCCAACCGCACCTAGAAATTTTAGAGAATTTTTTAACATGAAACATGCCAAGGCAAGAAACATCATCGAGCGGGCTTTTGGGCTTTTGAAGTCACGATGGGCCATATTACGTAGTCCACCATATTATCCCATCAAGGTTCAAAATAGGATCGTAATGGCGTGTTGTCTCCTACATAATTTTATACGCACGACCAACCACTTTGATCCTAATGAGGAAACTTTAGACGATTTTTTGAGGAAAAATCCAGGCATTATTAACGGCGAGGATTACATTAATATTGTTGAGACTTCGGAGGAGTGGACGACATGGCGAGATACAATTGCGATTAACATGTACAATCAGTGGTTATCGTCTCGATAGTACAAATTAAAAAAAAACCTATCAATTCCCTACGTTAAATGTATTTAATTGTTTGTATTTACGACTACAACATGGATACTAATGTGTCTTGCATTTGTAATGCTTTATTGTTCCCATTTGTACGTATTGTGATCTGAACATTATTTATGTGGTTACAATGGCTGGTTTAATTTGCATTTGATTCAGGTAATATGGAAAGTACTGGTGCTCTGAAAAAATGCACTTCAAGCAAAAACTGTGTCTCCAACAGCAGGCGCTGTTGGACAGTCCTCGAAGAGCAAACGTTAATTTTAGGTTTGAAAGATATTGTGTCAAGAGGTTGGAAATGCGAAAATGGGTTCAAAACCGGTTATTTAGGTACCCTTGAACAATATATGGTTCAAAAATTTCCCGGAACCGATCTTAAGGCCTCTCCCCACATCCATTCGAAGATACATGTGTGGAAAAAACATTATGGAGCATTAAGCACCATGTTGTCAAGGTCCGGATTTGGTTGGAACGACTCAAACAATACCATTGACGTCGTTGATGACCAAGTGTGGCAAGATTACATTAAGGTATTCTTTTATCATACTAAATTGATATCAATTCTTCGAATTTGGAATTTTTTGATAACTGTATAAACTTCTTACTGCTGCTGCTCCGTGTTTGCACGTAGACCGATGTTAACGCCCGTTCCATGCGGTACAAATCATGGCCGTTTTACAAGGATTGGTCTCAAATATTTGGTAAGGATCGTGCCACGGGGGAGCATAATGAAGCATTCACTGAGGCCATTAATGATTTGGTGTCTAACTCCAACAAAGGGAAAGAACACATGTCCAACGATGATGACGAAGTTCCTCAACTGGATCCGTCAAATGCAGACAGTTACTCTCAATACATGTCCTTCAGCCGGGTTGATGAAGCAACCTCCACAAAGACTAAATCAAAGGCTAAAAAGCGATCACGTAGTGACCCCAACGATGGTGGTTACGCCGAGATGGCTTCAAAATTCTTTGAGAAAATGGAGGCACAAATGGCTGAATTAGTGAGTCGCATGGGGTTCGAGAAAGATGTGTCGGCAGCTAGGAAGCAAGTTTTTGACGCACTAGCCAACATGCAACACCTTACCTTTGAAGAGAGGCTTAAAGCAACTTCTCGCATTTGCGATAACCCCAAAGATCTTGATATATTCTTTTGCTTGAGTGATGATCACAAGGCAAATATGGTGCAATTGATATTGGACGGACGTTACTAGTAACACATTCACGGACTCTACTCCTTTTAGATATTCACATTATCGTTTGTTTAATTATAACCTACGAATGAGGTTGTTACATTTCATATTATAATGTGCTTTATTAAACGATGGTATTTCGAGAACAAATTTATATTAGGTTGCTATTAATTTTGTTTAACAATAAATATGTTTTTGTGCCATAATTTACTTACCAATTGCTGTTTAATAATCTAGTATTGTAAATTGTTGTTACTTGGACAAAGGTGAATAACAACTTAAGTTTTAATAATAATATCTTACTTACTCCAACATCCGTCCTATGTAAGGAGAAGTTCCATAAGCTTCGACATTGAACAAAATTACTAAATGCCAAATTACAAATTAAAATAGTGAATACATCAGTAACAAACCATTATATTTTAACAACATTAGAAATTACTTGGACCGAACATTCAAACATCCGTTCGTTTTCGTTGATACTTCCATATTTAGCATACAAAAATATAATACATAGATATATATATTATAGCCTGAATACACACGCTATATATAACGTGCAGTAGATATTAATTATAGCCTAAACAATGCATAAATCATACCGTAGATTCTAATGCACAAAACGTCTACTACTTAAACTTGGAGGCAGACCTAGAACAAATTAATTGTTTGTTGGGGTTAAGAACTCAACTGTAGTAGGCTTGTTTGAAGCCGTTGAGCTCTTAGGAGTTCCGAAAGGTTTGAATTTCCTCATGCTTCCCGTTTTAGACCGTAAAATAGAGCTTCCCCGAAGATCGTCGAAACTGTCAGTGTAGTGGGAGTTTGCCGTGCTAACCTCGGTGTCTCTTGATCCTTCTGAATCAGACACATAGTTAAGATGGTTGAGCATGTCGAAATCAATGTTTTCGGAAGAACTCGATGAAATATTTATTACGGTATGTGGGTCGTTACTGTTTGCGTGAGCAAATTCTCGCTCGGCAAGCATCTCAAAAGCCTGAGCGTTCGGTCCTAGACGATCCGCATGTATAGCATGGTTTGGAAAACCAGATCCTTCACCTGTTTCAGGTTGTGCTTCATCGTCGTCCGATACCACCACAATAGATTCTTCAGCCTCATTGGGGTTTTGCACAGGCTCTGCTCCGAAAATGCACTTTAATGCATTGTACTTGGGCTCCCCGGCTTGGCGGTAAAAAAACGCAAACTTACTAGTCTGCATATTCGTGAAATACTCAAATTTATTTAGGTTCAATAACTAACTAACTAAAATGTAAACATGAAAGACAAAATAAAATGTAGGATTATTTTTAACTACGCTTATCAAAACCTTCAAAATATGATCCCAAATCTCGGAGGATGCTGAAACGATGTTGGTTGTAGAATTGTAGCGAACACCTTCTTGAGCTAGAATCCAGTGAAAGGTGGTGAACCTTTTGCGCAGCAACGTCATCTTTTTCATCAAGTGCTTGTAAGAGAAGAACAAGTTGAATTTAGTTTGAATACCTTCTTGACAACTGAATAGGGCAAGGGTATTTTTCCCGTCACGTTTGAAACAGTCCTGTAACGATTCCATGCACAACAGATCAACGAAATAATCATCGATCTTCTCACTCCAGTCCAACTCGTACAAAAAATCTTCGCGCCTAAAAATGGGCTTCTTCTTTGGGGCCATGGTTTTCTACTGTATTACGGAATTGGTGGTATTTGCTGCAGCCACACTTCACATTGGCTCTTACTCAACCCACATTTATACAAATAAAGGAACCCTACCTAATGAAAATAAATAAACAATAATTAATAATTGTAGGTATCGGTTATATTTCTTGTTCAATTAATGGTTGACAAGAATGTTGGCAGGAAATATAGTGCACTCACTCTGACAAAATATAAAAAGAACATGTCAACTACATATACAACCAGCCGTAATATTATTAAAGGAACCGTCAATACCGTGTTCAACAAATGAACTAATAAACATAACAAATTAAAGGACCTAGAAAATGTAATAACGTAACCCTAGGCAACCTTCATTAATGTGTGCAAGCATACATCAATCTTTCTTACAAGAGTATTGAATGCTGTTTCACATCTACCACCATTTGTATGGTTCAAGAAACAATGATGAGAGGCATTAAGTGTGATACATTTGAGAGAAGTAGCCGTCCAAGTGTTAATGGCTGCAATGAAGTGGTCCATTTAATGCATAGTAGTTGGTGAGTAGGTTGACCAATTGGAGCACCATTTAATGAGGAAATAAATTCGAAATTTGTTGGTGAAAATAAGTAAGGGTGTGACCTAGATTCTTCATATTCTGCAGCAAAGGAAGATCAAAAGGGAAAAAAAAAAACCGTCCACAATTCAGAAGCAACTGTTAAGATTTTGTGATTCCATTTTCATTATTTCCATTTCGAGAGTCTGCGTTCTAAATCTTGTTAATACAGTTCAATGTTTTGAAGTTGTGTATGTCATTCCATTGTTGTAGGTACCATGTCGAGGCCTCGAACAAGGAATCAACGTAGCTTGGAAAGAATCAACAATGCCCGATGGCCGTACGAGTACGACGAGTGTATGATCGACGCGGCTGCAACATTTGCTTTGGACGTTGAAACATTGGAGGACCCCGAGGTGTATGAAGAATGCTTGTTCGAAGTCTACATCACTTTGTGCTACCAATTCTCACGTAACTTCGACGACGTTGCTACGAAGTGTAGGATGAACAGGCTTAGGAAGCGGTACTTTGCCTTCAAAGATTACATTGCACAGGACGGAGTAACCTACGATGTTCGAACGGGGTCGTTGACGGTGGACAGGAGCATGTGGCCACTGGATCGAAAGGTAATACGAAACGTTATTCGTTTTTTTAACTGTTCTCGTATCGTATGTTGTTTTTTTTTTTTAATGATTTGAATGCATGCAACTCCTATTTACAAAATAAATGCTCACAAACAAAACATGAACATTAGGACAGTCCTTCATTCGTCTGTTGATGGATTTTTATTTCATATGGATGATTTCGCAACGACGGTGGAAACCCTTGTTAAGTTTTTGAAGAATTAGTATGAATGTTGTAATTACCGTTTTTTAGTAGACGAAAGGGTATGTGGACTTATCATATGTTTTCGAATTCTGCATATGGAATGTTGTGGTTCATGACAGTCCTTCGTTGTACATTTCTTCAATGTGTAAAGATCTTAATTTGTGAATTTTAATATTTTTTATTAGTACTCGATCGTATTATTCGATGGTATTGATGTGTAGGAGACGGAGGAAGAGAGGACCTTTAGGATCAACCGGTTTCCATTATACGAAGATTGCCACTTCGTGTTTGACGTGAAACAGGCCCCGGAAGTCAACTTTCGCGGGCTCGTGGGATATGATCCAGAACTTCCGCTCGTCATCAGTAATGACGTAGCTGATGACGGAGTTGTTGCTCCTCAGGTTGTTGCTCCTCAGCCAAATCCACCCCAAGTTGTGGATCCCCACTATGCGATCTACTTAGACGATCTCTATGATCGAATCCGAAACGAAGGTCGTGGGAACGTTGCTAACAACAACAACGCGAATCAAGAGGGTGGGAATGAGGGTAACGAACCAGCTGTCAGTTTCAGTGACGACATTGAAGAAGCAAATGACTCCGACGGTGTTTGAAAGTTTGTTTGTCCATTTCGGTACTGTTTTAAAGACTCGTTTGTGTTTGTTGTTTTTTTTTTCAGTGTTTTATTTTGTGGTGTAAGGTTGTTTTGTTTTGTTGTTCGCTGTCGTTGTGTTCATGTTTAAAGACTCGTATTGGTGACTACTTTCGGGTGTTGTTTCGAACATATTGAAGGGCCAGTGTTCCCTAATTTTCTAAGTTCCCAATTTGGGGTACTTATGTGTATAACTATGATTATATGTGGCTTTGTTTAATCTGCGTTGCTAAAAAAATACTACACCTCATTGAACGTTGACATCAATTATTTCCGTAAATAGCTATCTCATACACATTTCGTATGCATAAATTCCACAGATATTACATGTCTCCAACTGTTTCAAACTTACGTTACTCAACTGCCAAGATTTATTTAATTAATGAACCGAGCAAATAATGCAACATACAATATCTACAGCCCAAAACAACGTTAATAAATATGAAGATTGTTACAAGTTACAAGGACCGAACAATTCACAAAGACCCAAATTTAGTACCTCATATTGCAGTTTGTCTACACCAAAAAAAACAACACAACAACAACAAAAATAATTGAAACTACACTAATTCCACAATACAGGTAAGAGTTTGAGGATCGCCTCGCTTCACCTGCCCCTGAGGCCAATTGATTCTCCAAATCAGCTATTTTCTGTACCAACACGGGAATCTCCAATGGTATTTGGGAGTCAAGGGCATTAATTTTTTTGATCAGGCCAGGAATGATACTTTTCGATCGCTCGCACATTGCCGGATCATACCAATAGAAAGCTTGGCAACCATGTACCTACACCATGAAATTGCAATACATCTAAATGCCCACATTAAGTTATTACATGTTTTACAAAAAATGCAAAATTTCAACTACTCAAACCAATTGATATAAAACAGTTTGCATCAGCACATCGGTGAAAAACAATGGACCCATTTACAGAGTTTTATATTGCATTTAAATTACAGCAAGAACAGGTATTTTTCAAGTCCGATCTGCAGGGGGAAGTATCGTGAAATTAGAAAAAACTATGAAATTGGATAAAAAATCAGTCAACATTAATGGGTAAATATGCACTCGAGACTCAGAAACACAACTCCAAACGAAATCAAGAAACGGTTCAACGTACGATTACTCCAAAAACAATAATAAACCTCAAATTACATGAACCTCCCTCCACTCATACCCGGTTTGCGCAACACTTAAAACGGCGCCCTGGGTTAGCCGAGGTCCAAGAAGTCAGTATGCGTAGTTGGTTTCCGCATTGACATAGATCTCGTTGCTGCCCAGTTGAATCGAAACCCTCCCCGTTCTTAATGCCCGAACTCCGTCGCGAAGTAGTACTCC